AGCCAAGGGAAGCAAAGCAAAGGAAAGCGAGGGAAGCGGTAATCGTGGAAACTAGGACGATCGAGAAGGGGGGGGGTGCTTGAGGAGGGGAGGGGGCATGGGAGGGGCGGGGGTTGGGTAGCGGGGAGGGGCGGGGGGTAGGGGGGGCGGGGATGGGGGGGGTCCTCCGCTAGTGAAAGTCGGAGCAGCAAACTTCGTCGCGCATTTGCTTCTTCTTTTTCTCTCCTCCTCCTCCTCTTCTTACTTCTTATTCTTATTCTTTTCTCTTCTCTTTTCTGCTTCTCCATCTCCCCTTCCTCCTCCTCCTCTTCTCTCCTTTTCATCTCCATCCCCTTCCTCTCCTGCTCCTTCGTCTTTCTCTTCTTCCTTATTTTTTTTCTTCTCTCTTTGTTTTCCTTCTCTTTCTTCCCTCTCCTTCTCCTTCTTTTTAATCCTCTTCCGCTTCTGTTTTTTTCCTCTCCCTCTTTTCCTTCTTCCCTTCCTCCTTTATTCGTCCCTCCTTCGCATATTTATCTTCAATTTATTTTATCTTTTTCATTTTATATTTTTTTTTATTTTTCTTACCTTTTCTCTTTCCTTTCTCTACTTCTTTTTCTCCATTTGTCTCTTTTTTCTGTTTACTTTCCCTTTCTTTTCTCTTTTCCTCTCCTCTTTTTCCATCCACTTTCTCTTTCCTCGTCTTCAAAGAATGCAGGTATGTATGTATGTGTGTAAGCATGTACGTATGTATGTGTGTACGTATGTGTGTATGTGTGTAAGAATGTATGTATGTGTGTAAGTATGTACGTATATGTGTAAGTATGTACCTATGTGTGTGTGTGTGTGTGTGTGTGTACGTATGTGTGTATGTGTTTAAGTATGTACGTATGTATGTGTGTAAGTATGTACATATGTGTGAATGTGTGTAAGAATGTACGTATGTGTACATGTACGTATGTATGTGTAAGTATGTAAGTGTGTAATTATGCACGTATGTATGTGTGTAAGTATGTATGTATTTATTTTGTGTAAGCATGTAAGTATGTATGTATGTATGTACGTATGTAAAAATATATGTATGTGTGTAAGTATATATGTATGTATGTATGCAAGTATGTGTCTGCCTATGTGCACGTGTCTGCTCATGTGCACGTGTCCTCATGAGTACGTGTCTACTCATGTGCACGTGTCTACTCATGTGCACGTGTCCTCATGTGTACGTGTCTACTCATGTGCACGTGTCTGCTCATGTGCACGTGTCCTCATGTGTACGTGTCTACTCATGTGCACGTGTCTGCTCATGTGCACATGTCTGTTCATGTGCACGTGTCCTCATGTGTACGTGTCTACTCATGTGCACGTGTCTGCTCATGTGCACGTGTCTGCTCATGTGCACGTGTCCTCATGTGTACGTGTCTGCTCATGTGCACGTGTCCTCATGTGTACATGTCTGCTCATGTGCACGTGTCCTCATGTGTACGTGTCTGCTCATATGCATGTGTCTGTTCATGTGCATATGTTTGTGCATGTGTACATGTCTGCTCATGTGCACATGAGTTTGATCGCTTGTTTTCCACCTCTTATCTTCTCTCTGTAGAAGATAAGGAATAAGAGAAGAAGAAGGAAGAGGAGGAGGATAATAATGATGATAATTGCCTGTCCCCCGATTGCACAATTGTTGCTTAGTTATCATAATTCTATTGGCTTTATTATTCCTCTTCCTTCTTCTTCTTCTTCTTCTCCTTCATCTTCTTGTTTTTATTCTTCTTGTCTTTCTCATTTTTTTTCTTCCTCTTCTACCTCCTTCTCTTCTTCTCCATCTCCTCCTCTTCCTCCTTCCTATTCTCTTTCTTTTAATTCTTCTCTTTCTGTTTCTCCTTCTTATTTCTATTTTCTCTTTTCTCCTTTATTTCTCTATTTGTTTATCGCGCCATATTATATCCATATTTTTATGACTGTTCTTCTGTAACTGCTTTTATTCCTCTTTCTCCTCCTCCTTCGTTTTCTTTTTCTTTCTCTCTGCCTTTCTTTAGTTTTGTCTTTTGTATGTTTCCTCTTTCGTCTACAACAATAATGATGATGATAACAATAATGATAATAATAATAATGATAATAATGATAAAAATAATCATGATAATGATAATAATAATAATAATAATAATAATAATAATAATAATAATAATAATAATAATAATAATAATAATAATGATAATAATAATAACATCAATAACAATAATAGCAGTAACAACAACAACAATAACCATTATCATCTATGATACAGTAAGAATTCGAAGGCCAAGAGTAATAACAACAACGACAGTAATAATAATAATAATAATGATGATGATGATGATGATGATCATAATAACAATAATAATAAGAAGAATGATAATAATAATAGTAGTAGAAACGATTGACCCCCTAGTTTCTGGCTGCTCTATTTTAACACCAGGAGGGTATAAAAAACAGACACGACAGGCTTGGTCAGTATCTCATTCGTAACCACTTCTCCATTAAAACT